AACTGTGTTTAAGTGCGATAGCAGACGCACATTTTTGTTTCCAGCAGAGTTTCAATTCATGATTTATATATAGAGATCATGAAAGTGTGGAACAGGTAGGGAGCATATTAGGCAACTAGAATGAACGTTTCATCGGCGAGCAACAAGATTGTTTAAACGAGAATCCTAGCAAATAAGATTCGAAGACATGGAAGCTTAACGAGGATTGCTAGATTCATCGAAACAATTAACAGAAAAGACTCATTAGGCGGCGAAGAGAATAAAGTTTCTTTTGGAGCTCTAGCAGTGCTAGTGTTACATGTCACCAACGGCGAACGGCGAACGGCAGACGACTAGTGCCAACTGTAAAAATCGGAGAAAATGAAGGGAAATGATAGTAGCATAAGAAAACTGGGGCAATTGATAATTTGCTCGGGATACCGCGGTTTGCTTAATGAGGTAGCTGCAAGACAAAAACAAAGACAAATTTAAATATGATTTATTAAAAATCGCGCGGCTGAGAGTACGGCAGATGGCGTTTGATTCATGCTTGGGGCCCCCCAAGGAGCAAAAATCCTCAAGTCGAGTTCAGGCTCAGGAGCGCGTTAGGGTTTCATATATGCGTGAACAGATAATTCTTGTTTAAAAGCGATTGTCGTGATCTCGAATGACCAGCCTGTTTTAATTCGTACATTCTCGAGAACAGCGACCGGTGAAAATCGGACTGTTTTGGAGTCGGGGTGGTAATGATTCCGTCCGTCGGAGGAGTTTAGCAAGTGAATGTTCCCAAAACGCAGCAGTAACAACGCAGGAGGCACTAAAATTCTAACCCTACGTGGTTAATTAAACAGCAACCTCGCCAAACATGCACCAAGGAATGTACTAAAGTGCAAACAGAGGCACTAAAAGTTGATATAGCACTATCTAACTCTACATAGTAGCGAACTAGTGAGATATATCTCCTTTGTGTGGTGCTCGGAAATTAAAAAACGCACGGGTGGGATTTTCGCTCATAATAACTTTACCTATTTACATAACTCTAAATGACGAACTCTAACTCTGCTCTCTTCTGGTGACAGATGTTGGCATTAGCGCCATTGTTATGTACTCCCTTTCTTCCAAGAGACGAATGCGGATCCGCCAATAAGAAAGATAGCAGAGGTCTGCGTACAGAAGGCGACCATTGGTGTTTTCAGCGGAATGGTGAGCGCTCAGTTCTGTGGTGCCGTACAGGTAGCACATTTTGCGGCAAATCATATACGTGTCGGACAGCCGCCATGATTTTTGCTTCCCATATTTGCGAAGTAGACGCGCGGGGAAAGGGTATTTCAGCCACTCTGCGAAATCGATTTCGCCACTCGGACTGGGGAAACTGAAGCGTATTAGCAATTGTTCTTAAAGGCAGAGAAATGCTATTACTTAACGCTCTATGCGAACAACTCTAACTTTATCTCGGTAAAGTGCACGGGATCAGGCATGATTATTATAATCAAAATATGTGTCTTCGAAGTGATTCGCTAGTCCATCGCATCGAATTTACCGAGCGAGTGCAACGAGGCGAATGGTTGTGTACTTGCACATGTGCTCGCTGATATGCGCGTTTTAGGTCTTCGGCATTAAGCTGCGGATACTAACAGCGAACGTCATCACTCTGGTAAACTAATACGGAAGATAGCAGAGTCTGCTTTCTTAAATTTAGTGTACTCCTTAAAGCATATCAGCAGAACAAAGCTTATTATATTTTCAGCTTAATTTTCTATTTATAGTTTACTCGCTAATAGCTTTTTTTGGGTATACCCATGTGGTCTATTATTATCCCTCCGTTTCGCAATCGATTCGCCATTGCAAAGCAAAAAGTATCAGAATTGGACCTTCACGGATGCCAGTATACGACCACATATATACAGAAGGCTATTATCTGATAATGGTCGATCGCTATCACTCTTGCTCGGAAGTTTAAATATTCACTCAGGGGATCTTTTGGTAAAGCTAAATTCCCCAATACTCTAAATGTATAGAGTTTCATTGGAGTTTGCTGGGCCAGCATTTAAGTTTGCGGTTCTCAGTTACTCTGGGCTGTGCGAACCCCAGACGAACTAAATATTGGACCACATATCTCTTTTTTGTATCGTCCATTATTTAATTCCTCCTCATTTATTGTTTCGCCTGTATTATCTGCCGCTTTTGCTCTCTCTTCTCCCCATTTCGTGCTGATCGTTTCAGTGGCCGTTTCTCTGAGTTCGCCGGTAACCTTGAGCAAAACTAAGCCCAGCTGCACTCTTGGCCTTTTATCGCAATCCCCTACCACTCATTCTCCGTCTGAATAGGCTTACCTTCACCCTCTACCACCCAATATTGACATACCTTGAAACCGCCGGCGCCTGAATTGTCCATATACTCGTATCGCACGCCTCTTCCTTTCAGACCCTGGCGCTGATTCAACCTCGGCAATCGACGTCCTCGCTGTACACGTTACTTCACAGCCTTTTTTCTAACTAGCCAAAAAACCGTTCCCACTGATCATCTGGTTTGTTCCATATCTGATAATAACTTGCTGCACCTCTACTCAATATTTGAAATCTAATTGCTCATACTCCAGCGTTTCTTAGAGCTGAAAAAACCTAGTCTTTCTCGTGTCTGTTGATGCCAGTATATCGCGATGTCTTTGTCTTCAAGTAACATTACGACACAAGACCATACGCCAACTGACCCTACAGAGTCGCGATCTTCTGCTGACATTAATCCACAATCGAGTCTCGCAAGCAAGAGCGATATTAATAGCGAGTTTATTGACGACCAAAATGACCGCAAACAAAACTTAGATCATCCAGACTCCTGTGAAGAAATAGACCTCTCCTCTGCTCCTTCTGACCGATCTGCGCATTCTTCGTCCTCGACCGCAAGCTCTCCTTTGGCCATAAACACTTCAGCTCAATCGCTTCAAACTCGCCCTCAAGGCCGGCCGTATTCTCAGGAAATGATCGTCCGCTTCGTTCACTGCTCCTCTCTGGAGTCCGCCTACCGTTCCCAGGAGCGGCGCGGCGACCACCTGACCAACGTCGCACAGTTCAATACAAGCGATAGATATGTCGAAGGTATACCCGCTTTCAACACTATAAATGAGGCATTGAAGGAGTTTTATAATCTCGAAAAGTTCCTTCTTGTAAAGGTCATCCGTTCGTCCGCGCGAAACAGGAAGCGCGAACTATATTCCTCGTCGTCTTCTGGCTCAATATGCAGGATGGAAACAATCGTTCCTCCAGACATATGTTCGGCCGAGTTTGTCAAGAGGAACGTAGTATATCCGCGGTATAAGGCGTACATGAAGATTATAGTACTCGACTACCCGAAGAACGAAAATCCCAAGCAAGTTCTTTACGCCGACCCAGTGACATACCATTACGACTCAGTGCACGGAAACCTGCCAGGAGATGACACGAAAATCATCAAAAACTTTGAAGATAGCCCCACTCTAATTTCGCAATATGCCGCAAAAGCCCAACAGCAAAGGGACAACTCCATGAGACCTGTTGTGCCGATGGCTGGCGGCGTCGGCCACTGGCAAAACATGAATGGAATGCCGCCCGCGGATGAGTATGGTAGGCGGATGAGGCATGCAGACATGAACTCAGCTGTCCATGAGTACATAAGTCCAGGCCAGCCGAATATGCAATGGACTCCAGGATTCGTCGGCTATCCTACACTTGCCCCTCCTGGCCATATACCGCCTATGGCCCCTGCTGCCCACGGCGCGCCGTCTGGTATGGCTGCGCCGCACGCTGCACCTCCATATCATCCTGGGTACGTGCCATATCCTGGCCACGAATACAATTACTTACACCCGGAAAACGTTCCTGGCCGTGCTGGCTATCCTGATGGGTCCAGCGCTAAGCCTGGCTATTACATGCCTCCTCAAGCTTACTCTGAGTACATCCCTGATAGATATCCTCAGTACTTTATGCCACAACGATATCAGGCTAAAGCAGCACCAGCAGTGCCGGCAGCGCAAGCTGCTTCTTCCGGATGGTACTACCAGTACGGTGTCCCCATGCAACAAATGGGGCAGGCCAATCACAGTTCAGGTCCTCAAGCATCCGCCCAGCCCATGGTTACTATTCCTCGACAAACAGCGGATGGTTTAAAGGAAAGCGATCCTATGCGTTCGCGCTCTGCCAGGTACCCTAAAGCCGGTGATGCTAGTTCTGAGATTGGGCAACAGCCGGCGGGCGAGTGTGAACACCGTAGACTTGACGAGGCGAATCCGCCTCCTAGTGCAAGCGCTACACAGGCGGAGTTTCTCACCCCATCCGGGTCATCGAAGGGTAATGAAATGCCAGCTGAGTTGGTCACTGAAAATCCGACGCAGCAGGGACGTCTCCCTAGTATCGGCTCGCTAATCAATAAGCCATGATGAGCGACCTACAGTGCGATACACTGTGCCAGTTTTTTAAATGGGGATGATCTTGCTTCTTGTTGTTCTGTTTTGTATTGGTTGTGGATGCTGCGGAATCTGGCGTTTGCTTCTCAGTGTTTTGCCAGCGCTGCATATCCGTCATTTCACCTCCATTTTTTGTATTTTGTTTGTACCATGAAGCGTTACGAGCCCGCTTCTATTGTTTAACTAGCCTTATGAGCAACTTCCTTGCAATTTCGTATGAAACTATTCTGCTTTACAGCTGTCTTAATAACGCGCAGTCGTGTGAAAGAAGAATAACGTAATAGCACATTCCGTAGCAGCCCTAGTCTTTCATTGCAGCAGATCTTGATAAAGTATAAAGTTAGGCCGGACTAAAAGCGGCCAGGCTTATTCAGCAGTTCGCACATGTATACGATAGCCCGTATGAAAGGCTGCAGTGTGTTCTAGTAGCTTATCATGTCATTGCTAGTGCGGTATGTTCAAAGATTATAGTTACTGTATATGTTTGAAAAGATGTTGCACGAATCGCCGTTAAACTGTATCAGCAGCGAAAAAGCTTAATTGGAGGATGGGTTTATATAGCCCCTGTGGCACTAGTAAGGTTGAGAATTTGGCCGAGTGGTTAAGGCGTCAGGTTTAGGCTACGCTTAAGAACCCTGATATCTTCGGATGCGCGAGTTCGAATCTCGTGATTCTCATACATCCGTCTTTTTTTTTGGCTAGTTTTTGTCTATATACTATATGTATATTACATATAGATACGTGTATTTTGTAGTATAGATACAGGTATATAATTATTGTAGAGTTATTAGAGGTAATGCTTAGGTTCGAAGGCTGCGAGTGATGCGTTACACGGGATCGCGTAAGTTGTTTGTGGATTCTAGATGGAATTGGATATTACGCATGTAGCTGAGCCATATACGCGAAGTGAGCTCAATATCGAGGTTTTGTCTATTGATAGTCTGTCTGTTAGTGTGTGGACATGTCAAGAGAGTGACATAAAGGGTACATACCTCTATCATTCTGTTAAGTTCGGTCAGTGACTCATTTAATTTGTCCTTGACGTTAGTGATTAGTTGTAATTTAGTTGATCGTGTGTATACATACTATATTTGAAGCAATGCGGACAAGGATTGCATTTTGGACGGTTTCATGGGGGTTCTCCATCTTGTCTTTCGATCGAAAGGTAAGTGCGATGGACGCGGAGGAGATTCAACAGTACCGCGACCAGTACGACGCGATTGTCAAGCAGCTGGAAAATGACAAAGAAAACAAAGATCTGCTAGTATTAAAAAAAGAACTTGAAGAATTGCTGGCGCTGGCGCTGGCCGGTGGCGAACCTGTTGCGCCTATTGCAGCCGCAGAGCCAACAATCGTATATGGTGCAGGCGAATTCGTGCTTGCCAGATGGAAAGATGGTAAGTACTACAAATCAGAGATCCTCTCGCAAACAGGGTCTAGCGAAAATCCTATTTATACGATCAAGTACCTTGACTATGATGAGATCGACACTGTAGGGGTGCGCGATTTACGGCCGCTAGAAGTCGCCAAAGAGGCCGACTCTATGCAAATGCCAACAAACACGCAAAAACTGAGCTCGCGTCAAGTAAAGAAACAGAAGGAAGTGAAACGGCTAGAAGAAAGCAAAAACAAATGGAAGTCGTTTGCAGCTAAGACGCGAATATCTAAACCGCCATCTTCACGGAAACCTAACTCATCTTCTGTCACGACCGCGCGGCGATCAAAACACGTTCATGAGAAACTTGACGACGAAGATGAGTAATCTACAGAGATGGTTCCTTATGGACTGGGACGAAACAGTAACAAGAAATGATACAATCAGTCTGCTGGCTAAAGCAGCGATCGACAAGGGTAAGGATCCCGCTGTGTGGGATTCCATCGTCTCGGCGTACCTGCAGGACCTTTCGTCAAACCCACAGACACGCCAGGAAAGGACTGAAGTGGAAAATAGAAGTATTGCTAGAGTCTCACAGTCTCAGTTGCTAAAAGGCATGCCATTCGAGCAGCTCTTGGATTACTACAAATCACACATCGAGTACCGTCCAGGATGGCCTGAGTTCTTGAACTACGCTGCACGATCGCACATAAAACTCGCCATAATTAGCATCAATTGGGCTGGCCAAATTATTACGCAATTGGTACCGCCAAATATAGAAGTATGGGCTAACCAGCTCGCAATCCAGAACGGTATTTGTACCGGCGAGCTACTGGGATGTCCTAATGTACAATCGTTAAGAGTTGCTGAGGATAAAGCTGACATTGTTTATTCGTACTTGAACAGAAGTTCGGATGTTTGGTATATTGGTGATTCGTTAACGGATCTAGACGCTATTAAGGTAGCAAAAACCGGGATCGTAATGACAAAACAAAACACTCCAAAGGAACTAGCAGAACTGAGCGTTCCAAAAGTTAAAGATTGGCATGAAGTCATTGAATTATTAGAACAGAGTTAGAGAATGAGAATATAGGGGGGGAAATGATCTGAACTGATAATACCACAAAACTTCACCGGCTAGCCACATATCTGCTAAGGTTTTGTGACCTGACAAGTCATATATCTGCATGGTCTCAGATCATTATAACTTCTCATACTCAAGCTTGCCCTCAAGTTTCTTCACTTCGCTCACTTTTCGCACGGCTTTAAGCAAATCGTCTTGAATAACATGTTCACGGTCGTCTCTAATAGCAAAGAAGCCGGCTTCTGTAATAACGTTCCTGATATCAGCACCATTGAACCCGTCCGACATCTTAACAAGTGCATCATAGTCAATTTCTCCTTCTTTTTGCACTGCAGAGGAATGGATTTTGAAAATTTCTAAACGTCCAACTTCATTAGGAAGCGGGATCTCAATCTTACGATCCAAACGTCCCGGTCGCAGCAATGCAGGATCTAGTGTATCTGGTCGATTAGTAGCCATAATGACTTTAGTTTGTCCAAGATAGTCAAATCCGTCCATTTGGTTGAGTAGCTCCATCAGTGTTCTCTGAATCTCTCGGTCAGCAGATGTACCCTCTGAGAATCTGCGGCCTCCGATAGCGTCGACCTCGTCTATGAAGATAATGCAGGGCTCATGTTCTTTGGCGTATCCGAACATTTCTCGCACCAACCGAGCACTTTCTCCGATGTATTTATCAACAATGCCAGAAGCAGGCGAAAATATGAAGTTGGCACCTAATGTAGCCGCCACCGCGCGCGCAAGCAGCGTTTTGCCCGTACCGGGAGGGCCGTAGAGAAGCACACCTTTAGGCGGCTTGATACCTACACGGGTAAACAGCTCGGGATTCTTCAAAGGAAGTTCTATGACTTCTCTCAGCTCGCGAATTTGTTCGTTAAGGCCTCCGATTCCTCCAAATGACAAGTCTCCTGGCTCGTAAGACGTCATATTGTATACCAGAGGATCCACCTCCCGTGGCAACCTTCTCATGATAGTCAGCGTGGTCATATCCAGAGCTACACGAACACCCTGTTTGAGCTTGCTTTTATCAATCTTATTCCGACATCCAACAACATACCTTGGACCCGAACTTGCTTTCACAATAAACCGCTCTTCATCAAGCTGTTTGAGAACTTCGCCAATAACTTGACCAACAGATTGCAGCGCCTTGATATCATTCTCAGTCTTGTCGAACTTCCCCTCAAGGTTCTTTATTTCCATACGTAGTCCTTTCAATTTGGCATCCCATTCTCTGTGTTCCAGCAATTTGCTCTTGAACTTGCCAATCTCTTCTTGCCTCTGTTCGTCTTCCATTATGGTGAATCGTTAGTAGTGTTGGTGGTGGTCGTGAACTTTGGGGTCTAGGGGTTCATCCATCGTTCGGCGGTTCTCGACAAGTGTCTATGTGCCATGCATAATTTCTACACATTAGTAACAGTAATACCGGGCTGTCCGGGTACAGCGCCTTCAGCAGCTTTGCCTGACACAGCAACAGAGCTCTGGTCGTACATGTCGCGGCCTTCTGATTCGCCCTCTTTGACGAAGATCACTTGGAACTCTTGGCAAGAGTTAATAGCTTTTCGCAGTACCGGCATCGCCGTCCGAATAGTCGCAACTTCGTCAAACGCGAGTTTGCGATCAAAGACATGCTCGGGTGCCTCGCTTTTAAGACGACTCTTGATGTTATTCACAAACGGCATGGCTTTCTTCATCTCGTTGCTTCCTCCGGCTTCTTTCGCGGCCTGCTGCACCTTTTTCGTTAACTCGTCGGACTTCCCGTCTCCAGTCAACTCCATAGACTCAAACGCTTCCCGAACAAGGTCCAGGTACTTCTCCTGCCATTGAGGAAACGCGTCGGCAACATACACAGTCACCTTGCTGGGCTTGCTCAAATCATATGTAGTGGTCTTGCCCTTGCTCTTCTTCTTCAAGTTGGCACCCTCGACTTCTCGAATAGAGCGACACAAGTTGCGCACATATGACAAGGAAGATAACACTACATTGTCAAGCGGCTTAGAAATCTCAGGGAATTTCGCACTATGCACAGATCCCTCTTTCTTCAGAACTTCTTTATACAGGTACTCAGACCAATGTGGCATCAATGGAGTCATAAGCAGGGCTTGTACTTCAATGTAACGCAATACAAGATCACGACGCATTCCCTGAATAGCATCAGAACTAGCGCACGACTCGCGATAGTACTCACGGGCTGCCTGCAAATCATACAAACCGGATTTCAGCGCAGACTTAAATGACGTGGTCTTATAGTGACCAATAGTCTCGAGAATCAACTGGTTCAATTCATTCTCGAAAGCAGCGTCAAAAAACTCCGCCTCCGGACAGCTGGCATTAGTCCTGAACTTATCAGCATTGACAACCTGCTGTTCACACCATTCCCGAACTGTGTATAAGCGAAGAATAGCCGTATTAGCAGTAGTTTCGTCGAAGTTAGCATCTTCAATACCATCACCGGCATCAGCTAAAGCTAAACGGGCGGCATCGGCTCCAAACTTGTCAACCATGTCACTCATGGTGAGGAAGTTTCCCGTACTCTTGGACATTTTCTGATTGTTCAGCAGCAAATGGCCGTTGCAGCGAATGCCGCGAGGCCAGAACTTTCTAGGGAAGAGCGCAACATGACAGTACAGGAAAAACGATAAATGGTTCTGAATCAAATCCTTTCCGGAAACACGAACATCGAGCGGGTAGAAAAACGCAAATTCATGTCTCATAAGGTCCATTGTCTCAACGGGAATAGCAGAGGACGGAGGCTGGTCGGCATGATAGAAAATGTAGTCAAATACTTCGTCAGTCATATGTTCAGGAAGAATGCCGTATTCAGTAGGTTCCTTTCCATATAAATCTTTGTGCAGGAAGCGGGCAATAGTGTAGTAGGACATGTATACTGTAGAATCAGAGAGAGATTCAACAAGGTACTTAGGGTCCCACGGGACTCTAGTTCCAAGTCCATACGTGCGTGAAAAGGCCCAGTTGTTGAGCCAGTCAAGGGTGGCTTCGAATCCATGACGGGTTTCGTCATTGAAAGTATTCAAATCAGCAAGACACTCGAGGACATCAGCTTTCCATTTAGGTTCACCATAGTCGAAATACCATTGATCTTCCAGAGCCACAATACATTCGTCACCGGAGCGAGACATTACGAGTCCTTCTGGCTCATTATAAACAAACGCCTCACCAGCGTCAATGAGGTCCTGTCTGACTTTAGGCTTGGCATCTTCAAC